GACAGCGAAGAGTCACTCATTACAGGAAGTAATACAGAACGCTCAAGTAGAAGCTTCAATTATCTATTCTACAATCTATATTACCCCTCTTTGCCAAGGGCTTGGCAGTACTCGAGTATTCAGAGTAGTACTCGGCGAATACCCGAGTACTCAAAAATATCACCCGAGTAGAGTAGTACTCGGGCAACACTGATGAGAATTAAGAAGAAGTCATACATATATTCTTGCTTGGTATTATTTTAGATCTCCAACCAACACTAGGTGCAACGTTCATAATTTTAAATAGTGACGCCCTAAAGTCTACCCATGGAGAACAGCTTTATCACCCGTAGTCCACTGAATCTTCAGGTCCCACCTCTTAATCTTCCACAACCCATCCCCCCCATCCCTAACAAGATCAATATCATACAAGGTCCCCGCCGTATACGACGTATCCTCCACCTTAACCGCATCCTCCGGCTTCACATGATACGATATCACATGCGCAGTCAAATTCGCCGTATCCGCGCCGTCCTCAAGTTCAACACGGATATTACTCGCAATATGCGTAGTAATCAGTTTGAAGACATTGACAAATAACTCGTTGATCGCGGCCCAGCCTGAGAAAGTGGCGGGGCCAAGGGTTATAATCATGTCCTCGCCTTTTAGGCATGCCGACTCAAAAACGTCGCGGTTGTTGGTGTCGATGCCGAGGATGCAGCGGTGGAGGGCGTCGGCGACGGCTTCGCGGGGGGTGAGGGATGGGAGGGAGAGTTGGACAGCCATTGTGTTGGGCGAAGTGGATTGAAGGGCTCGAGGCTGGAATATAGTTGCTGTGGTCTTAATTACGATTACCTTTTGGAGGCTTTTTATATATATTTAATATTATCTAGAGTGTTTGTATGATATGCAGGAACGTCGAGCTAACAGGGGGTTACCGGAATTAAAGGAGGGGCATGCGGGAGGCTAGGATTGCCGGAGTTATAAGATGGGAATAATCCACTACGTGCATACCCGCGGCCCCACAGCTTCTATTCTTATGCTCTATACAGCTGTTTGAACCAAAGCCACAGGTAGATTGGTGTGATTAAGCTTGGGTTGTAGGAGTGTTGGAAAGCTGGCGAGTGAATTACGTAAGACACTAAGAGAAGGTGCCTTTTTCGGCAATCTCTAGGCCGTCATATCATTAAATGGAGTATTTTGTTTGATGGGTAATTAAAAGGTTGCTCTATATTTTATAAAAGTAGTCAGATTTATTCGTAAGGTTAGCTGTGAGGGGTAATTTTGTGTGGTTATTAAATTCGCGGGTGGCTTAGACTATTCATGAACATTTGAATTCACGGCAGTATTGGAACAAATATCACTCTATTGCTATCTATGAATGTCCCTTGCTACCCATATCGTACAACAATAATCGCTAGACAAACCAATGCTACAACACCGCGGATATTTGCCTATCCCTTGCTTTGTCCTCCATGAGAACTCTTCAATGAGGCTATTCTATCCCATGCTTCCAATCTACGCTTTCCAACCCAGGCTTTAAACCCAAGTCAAGTCAAGTCAATCACCTCAACCCGCTCCCCAAACAGCAAATCTTACATTCCGAGCCATCCAATACCGACTGGCCCTTGCCTAATCTCACAGACCTCCCCCCACCTTATCCCCCCCAACCCCTCCGGTACCCCACACCCCCGAACTACCCACGCCGCAAATCCTATCTCAAACGCCCAAGCCAGCACCGCCCTACCCCTCCGCCTCCCCCTCCCCATTGAGCTCTCCTTCCCCCAAACCCCCGTCTCAAACACAACCGCCACTCCATTCCCAACAAAGAACCACCACACCCTCCGCAGCCCCTCGCGCGCAATCAGAGGGGAAAGCGCGTAGACATGAAACGCACCCATCAGCGCGAATGCCGCTACCAGCCCCCCGGCCCGCGCCGCATCAATCGGCAGTCCAATCCGCGATAGCGCACGTCGCACGGGGTGGTACGCGAGCGAGGTGCATGGCGATGCGAATGCGTTGTGCCAGGTTTTGGCCCAGAATCCTCCAAGAGAATCGGCCTGGTATAGAGGTCCAAATAGCGGTGGGCTATCATGGTACCGCAGAATGAGCTGCAGCGTCGTCCAGAGGATGTAAATAGTCAAGAGGACCTGTAAAGCGAGGATGACCGCGTGCTCCTGTGGGAGCATCTGGAGCGCGGCGAACGCGGCGATGTGGAGAGCGAGATCGGTGGGTTCGCTGAAGGGGGAGGTCGAGACGCGGATGGGGTTCGGGGTGAAGCTTTCGTAGCGCAGCTCGGTGGTGAGGAGGAGCGCGAGGAGGGATGGGGGAAGCGGGGCGGAGCCGGCGTAGGTGCGTGGGTGGTGCCGGCGGGCGAAGATGTCGAGAGATTTGAGGACGCCTACTGCAACTTGGGAGTGTGTTAGCTGGGGTCTTGTTTGGGACGGGGAGACCCCACGGGTGGGCGTGAGGAGGAGACTGCAAACGCACCTCCGAAATTCATCAGTGACGCTGCTGGCGGGCAGTTTATTGGCGCCACGGATGTCGCCGTCGCAAACCCCACGAGGGCCCCGAGTGTGAGCACGCCATAGACGCGTTTATATCCCTTTAAGCTGAAGTAGAGTGAGAGATAGAGCAGTGAGAGCGGAAGGAGGAGGTACGCCAGTGAGCGGCCGAAGTCGTGTGCTAAGAGTCTAAATGATGGAGGGATATCGAAGGGTAGGATGGAGGCGGCCATCCTCCCTTGCCTGTTGCCCGAGGCGTGCAATGTAAGTATGTTCTTGTAGGTTCACTGCGCGATGCTGGGAAAACCACGCCGAGTCTCCGTGTGATGTCAATAAGCTATGGCGAAGCTCCCGCAAGATACGCGTCGTATGCTCCTTCCCACTGATTTTATCCCCAAAAATCTTCAGTCTGCTTCACGTCGCAGGTGCCTCACTCGTGATTTCCAAGTCCTATCACAATTCCCAGTTCGTGACGGCAAAATATAATGAACGGCTGAATATCTGTATTTATCGCCCTCAGCCTTGTAGGTCACGAACGACGTCATAATCAAGGTGCCAGGTCAGAGCTTCCTCGGCAATGGATTAGGCGACATTTTGATAACTAAGCTTCCCCGGCATTCACTCTGAAGAAATACGCTACTGTTTCGTAAAAGCACCTATCTAGGCCTAATTTACCTATTTATGGTTGCAGTTGTTAGGGTTTACAGTATCTCAGGTTGTAATCGACGATGCACATCGCCGGTGCCTATACTCCTACACTACGTTGTTCCTACCTTTACAGCTTTTGTGTGACACATTGCGCGAGGGTGTAGACCGGTGAGACCGGTGTAGACAGACGGCAACTGTGACCGCAATAGTGAGAACTGGTAACTTGCTTTGGGCCACTCCGGACCGGGCCATTCCGCCCGCCCTGCCTGTTGAGAGGGGAGCTCTGGCTCACCTTGCGGCTCAATAAACAGCCAACCACTGGCTATTATCACAATTTCTAGCATTATAAATAAGTATGCATTCCACATCATCTCCACTCGGATCCATCTCCACTACACCCCAGTTTGTTTTGGGGTTACATTTTGAGCTTCGTGCTGTCCATAGCTGATAGTTCACGAGTTGCAGCTAAGTCACCGACCAAATTGAGGCTCGGCAAACCTGCAATTCGTCAGCCTAGTCACAATCACGGCGAATTCGCAGCTGTTAGTGGTTGGCTGTATTCTCGATATGCATGTGCATACGTTCTGTACCACACACCACATGCACTACACGCAGCAATGCAGTTCGTGCCTCCCGAACCCGACAGCCTTGTTGATTAGATGGAGGCGCGTGGCGGGAGGGGGAAGGCTGAGCTGGAATCGAAAGATAAAATGGAGGCATTTCCTCCTTTCGCTCGGATTGGGGAGTAGACTTATTTTCACGATACATCAAAGCCTTATTTTGAGTGCAGATTTGCCTAACCAACTGCTCGCCTCAACTTCTAGTCATCGTTTCTACATTCAGAGCATATTTTCAGGCCTATAGCAATGGCTCACTACTTGTCATCAATGACGCCGGAGGAGGAGATTTTGGGCGAACTAAGGGCCAGGCTTTATGATCTTGGTGAAGCCCGGGCATACGCCCCTCGAAGTTCTACATTAGAATTGTACCAGCTTTCCCTCTATGGAGGAACTGGTTTGAGAATCACCGACATAATTGTGGAGCTATTGCGCAACCAGCTGCATGCGACCAAAGAGTCATCCCGTCTTCGAGAGCATTGGACTGCTTGCCGGGATAACCTCCTTAAGACTCTCAGGACACCTTGGGGCACATGTGCTGCCAACACGGGCAGTCGGAAGTGTCTGGGCGGATCATCGGGTTGCGAGATGTGTCGCTACAGCATCCTGTCGATTGCAAGCCAGCTTAATACCCTAACGCTTGGATTTGCAGGGACGACATTTGCTCCTGAGGGAACGTACCGGGAAGTCCAGGGGCAGGAGAATGAGTCTTCCCCACCCGACGACAATCGACCCTCGAAGTCTGACTTAGAGGCTGTCCAAAAGGAGCTATCATCAACAAAATCGAAGCTTTTAGAGGCAGAAGAGAATTCAAGGTGCTTGGAGAAGGTCCAAGAACTAACCCAGGAGGAACTGAAGACGCTAAAGACAGAACTGGAGGAAGCCAAGAAGGAACTGGAAACGCAGAAGATAGAGCTGGATAACGCCAAGAAGGGACTGCAGACGCTGAAGATAGAGCTGGAAAACGCCAAGAAGAAAGCCAGCGATCTCCGAGGGAGTCGAGAACAATTTAGGACAGCGTATCACAACATGGCAAATAGGACCAATGAATGTATCAGAGTCCTAACATCCGACAAGGGGAACTCAAAGACGAAAAAGGATACCATTTTAACGGCTACGATGAGAAAGGATATTTTAACGGTCTCCTTAGAACTTTACGATGCTCTAAACAAGGATGTGACCTCCCGGCTACAGGCCTTGCCAAAGCAGCACTCTTCAGATGAAGATACCAACCGGCGTACAGCGCTCGAGCAGGAGGCGCTTGGGCACCAGCATGGACGTGTTAAGACACTGATGAAGATGGACAAACACAAAGAAGCAGAAGAGATCGCAAAAAGAGTCCTTTATGACAGACGTAAACACCTAGGAAAGGATTCTGAGAAGACACAAGACATATTCAAAGACTACTGCGTGATCCTCGAAAAAGGCATAGGCGAAAAGCTTAATGCGGTAGAATGGGAATACCTGCAAGTCTGGTTCGACGACAGCCTAATGGACGACAAGTTCAGAGATGGAGCCGGTATCAGTCTAGCTCTACTCAGTCAGAGGCGCGATCAGATAGATGAGTCGGCCCTATGGTACAGAAAGGTGGCCACTCGCCGGCTCGCTAGGGATGACGTGAATGGTGCGGCGAACGCTGCATTGGAAATGGTAGCCGCACAGAAGTCTTTCCACCTCAGCTCGGAATCGGTGGAGACGCTAAGGAAGATCTGGGGAAAGGCTGCTGATATCAACTTGACCGACGACGTTTTGTCATGTGGCCAGGAGTTAGGCCAGTTCTTCGTCAGTGTTGGGAATTATAAAGAAGCTAAAGAAGTTCTCTTGGTCGTATGGAAGGCGCTGGAGAAACGTAGCGGCAACGAATACATCAACAGGTGCATCAAGACCGCGTTGACTTTAGTATCCACCATCGGTCATCTACCAAACGACGACGGCGGCGATCTCGATGAGCTGTACAAATCTATAGCTAAACTAGCTGAAGAAAAGGGTAACAAGAAGATTAGTCTTCAGCATCAATACCAGCTAGGATTAGCTCAGCTTAGTCGCATGGAAACCGGAGACTCCGAGAAGACGCTCAAGGCAGCTTGGGAAGAGGCGAAGGCGGCAGCAGAACTTGGGGTAAATAATGTACTTACTATTCAAATTGGCTGGAGCTATGGACGAGCCATTTTATCTCAACCTGGCCGGGACGCCGACGCGATGGACGTTTTCCGACTTTTATGCAAGACGGCACTTCTGCCTATCGGGCACAAGAAGGACGATTCTAGGCCCTTGGCACTGACCGTCGCTAACCTCACGATCGGTCGCTCCTACGCCGAGCTGCTGATTGCGGACGCGGAGGCGTGCAAGAACGAGGAGAAACAAATGGCAACATACAAGTCGGCGAAGGAGACACTGCGGATGGTGTGGAACGAGGCAAGTCCGCGTGTGAACAAAATCCTCGGGGATCGGAACTTGGATGCCCTCACGGACCTCCTTTGGATTGGGGACTCGTATGGTGAGTGTTTGACCTATCTCCGTGACCCGTCAAAGGCCATCACCGTGCTCACCGAGGTGTTTAACTTGAGGAGCAAGTGGACAACAAATACCAGCGATATTGAAACAACTTCTGAGCTGCTAAAGGAAGCGCTCGTAGCACAGTCAAAGCTGAAGTATGCGGAGAGTGCTAAAAAGGCGACGGATAAGAAGGTGGTCGATGATGCGGCAAAGGCAGGACAGAAATCAGGAGGTGATGTCCCTCATCTGTCGCCTTCAGGGCCGAACAGAGAGAGGGCTAAGTCGCCAGCGCCACCAGCGCAACCAGCGCATCCAAGGCCCAAGCCTCCGAAGGCTCGAAAGCAATCACGTAGGGTCGGGTTGTTCAGGTATTTTGCTGGAATTCAGGGATGAAGTCCATATATTTGGACTCTTCGTGGCTGGGGGAATTACAGTCCTATCGGTTGTTCTTGACGGTAGCATACCACGCAATAGTAGCTATTGTCGTCTTTCTCCACACCTCCCATTCCCTACTTTGGATAGTGAGAGTTGTTGCACTAATAAAACAGAATCGTATCTCACCAGGCTAGGAATTCTACATGCGGTATTAGGCAACATATTTAGTTGGGAATATTTCCCGGACGTCATTAATCCCCCATTCCAATACTACAACTCTGTATCAACGAAAGCTTAGGGATATAGTAATTTATTATTAATTAGATTGGACTTTAAATAGTCAGTATATTGAAAAAGACTAGTGAGTACATCGTTGACATATGATGGACTGAGACAAAAAAAAAAGTCCGAAGAGGTGTTTCCTGTGATTTATATTCTCAACAAATATAATACTAAAATATAAATATTACCTTTCACACATGTTTACTTATGTCCCAACCCACCCTCGATGTTCGACTCGACGCCTTACATAGCAAATATAAAAATCAGTCCAATTTACTAGTCGACGGTATCGACTGTTGGCTCATATACATGTGATCCAGAGAAATTATGTAGCAGGCCAGCGCAAGTGCGCCGATTAGATACACGCCCAACCTGACATTATTGTATGTTGGTTGCGTGTCTGCGATATGACATCACTCGAGCTGCAGGTCCAAATATACTATTATGGAGGAGTTCATGTGATCATTTACTAAATTCGTTGTCTGCGCGCCCAATGAGTTGGATCTAATAGTTTGCTGCGTTGTGGTGGGCCATGGGCCGCGACGTTGAGTCAAAAAATGAGAAAATATGGAATTAATTGCAGCCACGTACATAGCGTAGACCGAGTTTTGAGTTTTACCACGCTACAGACAAGTTGATGCCCGATGTGAGACACTTTGATGCAACCGTGGGGTTCTTTCAGTTTAGCCTGTTTGTTCCAGCAGACCGCTTGGGTTGGACCCCTTTACTGCGGGAAGGGTTGAATTAAAAAAAACGGTAAATAAATGAAACTTTTTATATTCCCGAATTTCGTGCCTGGCTACTGAAGAATCTCGTGTACCACTGGCGGGATATTAGTTGTTCGGCGGTGGACAGAGGGGCCGTCCCGCACGCCCCGGTGAGAACCATGGTACAAACGGGGTCCCATGGGGAAAACCAAGAGTAGCTTGTCCCCTTGTTTACCTCCAAAATATCAATCAACAAGGACGGCGGATAACGTATCAATATCAACCTGAATACTGTACTGTAATCTGTAAATAGATTTCCTACGCGCCCATGCTGTATACCCCTACTAGATCATGTGATTCAGGCGTCGAGCGCAAATTTAGTATGTAGGACAACTCATAGTGAGCATGCTTGGCACCAACCGAAACAATCCCTCAGCTCCTCCCGTTGCCGCCAAGACTTTGACCCCCAGCCTCATCATTCCGAGTGGAGCACCTATAACCACAAAATACCTGAGCTCACCATCATCCTCACCGACAGAATCGCAAATATCTACTTCACAGTGTCGCTTCAGCTCGTCGCCGACAGCTAATGCACACACCACTACACAACTAAGCCACCACGATGGCCGACGCTCGTACGCGCGGCGAGGCCTCAGGGTCCCGCCGCAAGAAACGAGACTCGCCATCAAAACAACAGGATCGCCGCGACGCCGCTCGCAGCGACAGCTACCAAACACAAACACAACCACAGCCGATCTACTCGAATACTAGAGCGGCACCTATATACGCCGAGCCAGAAGAGGACATGAACTTGCGCGGCACCCGCGGTCCCCGCCGCTACAGCAGCGACAATGTTTCGTCCTCCAGCTCGAGCTACATCGACATCTCGCGCAGGTCGCCCACCCAGCGCCGGTCAGCCGTGGGATTCTTCCGGTCCTTCTTCGCTGCCCCGGACAGGCGGCGCCGCGTCAAGAAACAGAGAAGCCGCGCGTCCATGAAGCTGGGGAACTCGTCGAGCAGCTCCGTCGACAGCAACCTCGCATACGGAACCGGCTACGTGAAGAAGCGAAAGGAGAGATACGTGTCACCCTACGGTTCCAGGAGGGAGCGCGAAACGGGCGGCGTGTATGCGCCCGCGGGTCCAGCGCAAGGGAAGAAGCGCAAGGAGAAGGATGTTGAGACGGAGATACTAGAGGTCGGCGCGGGATTGGCTGCGCTGGCAAGGAAACAGAACCGCATGGACCTGATTGAGGCGCGGAAACAGGGAATTGTGCATATTAGGAGGGAGGACTCAGGAAGACATGGGCTTGGGGTTAAGGGCCTGGAGTCTAGCCGTGGACTTGGGTCGTCGAAACCTAGCCATGGCGCGGATGAGGACGGATGGGAGTCAGCGAGCGATGACGAGTCCGACTCCTCTAGCAGCGTGGATTTGGGGCTTGCATATGGCGGTGAGAACACATGGAATTGGGGACGTCCGCGTCCTCCAATGCCCGTCAAGCGCAAGAGCACCATTGTGGACCCGAAGCTCTTCGGCCCACAGAACTCGCTGAATGGCGTCCTCTCGAGGCCGGTCGGCTTCGGAGAGGTCGACATCAATGCTCCTGGAGGCTTTATGCCGGAACCATCCTCTTTTGCGGCGAGGGACACTGGCTATGTGTCACCGCAGCAGCCACCGCCAGCCCCGAGTCTACGTGGAAAGGATGATGGCTACATTCCCACTGCTGCTCCCGCCCGCAGGGGAAGTGCCCAAAGCTCTGGATCTCTACAACACGTCTTCCCAATGCCTACGGACGACCCTCTCAACTTTGACGCAGGCCGGAGATCCGTCGCGTCTGTCCAAGACCAACCAATCTACAATGTATCGCGCACCGACTCTCTACCTCTACGACAACCTAAGCCATTCACACCCGTTTCGCAAACTATCTACGAACAGTCCTCCATCCCAGCTCATGTGGACTCTACACCTCGAAAAAGAGACTCTGGGAGTAAAAGGGACTCTGGGAGCAAGAGAGACTCTGGGGGTTACGCGACCTTCGCTGGTGCGGGCCTTGCTGGAGTTGCACTTGCTGGGATGGCGGCCAACCGACTCGAGAAGCGTAGAACCGAAGACGATTATGAGAGAGCGAAGCGACGCGAGCGACGCAGTAAGGAGGTGCACGAACCTGAGGACGATCGTGAGAGGCGCCGTGAAAGCCGTCGCGAGTCGGAGAGATACGAAAAGAGCGATAGACCCCGAGACTCCCGCCGTGATGACGAGCAGCGCGACTACCGCCCGGATGAGAGGCGTGAGCGACGCCGTGGCGAGGAACGCGAAGAGCGTGAGGAGCTCCCTACCTCTCGTCAGCTGGTATCTGCCACTCGTCCCGACCCATTCCAGTACCAGGTTGCTGACGACGCTTTCGAGATCGCGGACAGGCCCCACAAATCGCGTCAGGCAGCTGCCGATGGACCTTCGGCCAGGGCTCTTGAGAAGGCTCCCGAAAGAGCCCTTGAGAGCGCGCCTGAGCTGCCTATGGATACCCTTGCTCTCGGGTCCACGATTGAGAGAGGCCACACCCCTGCTATCGTGACGGTGGAGAGAGTGCCTCGCTTTGCTCGCGGAGGAGCGCGCACCCCGGTAGTCCCGGATGCATCAGCAGCCCGTGATGACGGACCCTCTGAGACCCGTGGCCGTTCGAGAGAGAAATCCCCCGAGCAGGTACGGGTCGTTCGCGTAGTAACTGACGAGCCGCCCGCAGCATCAAGTGATGTTGCGGCCGCTGAAGACTCCAGCCCTACTAAGAGGGAGTTTAAGAAGGGCAAGCGCAAGTCATACTCCGCCAGCACCGAGAGAGAGCGCGATCTCATCCAAGAAGATGCCGACCGCGTGTACCGCGAGACCATCGCCGCGAACAAGGCGGCTGCCAAGGAACCGGCACCGCGTCCTGTGACTCCAGAAAACAACGACGAGGACAAGGAGAAGGGTCCCTACGATAGCCCCAATGCCGACTTCGAGCTCGACCATGTCATGCACCCTAAGGACATGCCGACGTTCTCCCCCGTTGTGCTCCGCGCGTACCCGGTCTCGCAGAGCCGCGAGATAGAGGGCCCCTTCGACCCAGCCATGATGGGCCTCTCCCGACCGCTCCTAAACCTCGTCTATCCTACTCCCTCACCTGAGGCGCAGAAGCTCCGTGAAGTCAAGGCAGAAGCTGAGAGGACTAGGTCCCCCGAGACAAATGATCGCGAGGTCTCAGACCGCGATATTGTCACGGTCTCCCCGTCGGAATCTAAGGGCGTCAAGTGGGGCGAAGACGAAGTCAAGAGCTTCGTGCCCGTAACACCCTACGGCGAGGCCGCCGACCCGATCCACAACGCTGCCGCACCGGAACCAGCGAAGAAGAAGTCTTCTCGTTGGGGAGACATCCGCGGTGCCTTCATCGCACGCGCAGCTGAGATTAAGGCTGAAGAAGCGGCAGAAGAGAAGGCGCGCGCGGCCGAAGCCCCCGCTTCCCCAGCTGAGACCTTCGAATACCGTGGCATCACCGTGGAGCCCGAGCACGCCAACGACCACGACGCTAGCCTCGAGCGCGATCTCCCCAGGGATGACCACCGCGATCCCGGTCCCCCTCCCTCCGTTGGCCCCAAGCCCGGCGCCGATGTAGAGAGCCGCGGCATGCCCGGAGCCTTTGATGACGATATCGACTTCGCTGCCACTCTCGCAGCGGGACTTCAGGACTCGGGTTTCGACCCGAATATCGTTATTAATGACTCTAGCTTCGCGAGGCGCTCGTCGCCGCCGGGATCGGATGTCGAGACGGTGGTGTACCATAAGCCGTTCTCGGAGACGGTCACGGACTTAGGCGTTTATGAGCGTCATCCTAGCGGAGCCAGCGATGGGCCTGTGCTGGAGGAGGCGAGTCGCGAGATCGAGGAGGAGTTTCCTGTCTCCAAGAAGCTGAGCAAGAAGGAGCAGAAGAAACTGGAGAAGGAGGAGGCAAAGCGTGCGAAGGATCACGAGTTCGGCGGAATTGAGGCTGCCGCGGCCGCTGCAGTAGCAGCTGCTGCTATTGCGGGGGTGGCGCATCACTACTCCGGGGAGCGCGAGGTTGCAGAGCCGGAGCAGCCCGCCGACGAGGCTGATGAGTTCACACCCTCGAAGAAGCTGAGCAAGAAGGAGCAGAAGAAGCTGGAGAAGGAGGCTGCGAAGCTTGCAATGGACCGTGAGTTTGAAGCGGCCGAGGCTGAAGCTGCTGCTACTGCTGCGGAATCGGCAGACCGTGAGGTTGTTGAGGAGCGCGTCGACGAGGTTGAAGACTTCGCGCCCACGAAGAAGCTCAGCAAGAAGGAGCAGAAGAGGCTGGAGAGAGAAGCCGCGAAACTGGCACAGGAGGAGGAAGATGCCGCCCGGGAGCGCGAACACCAAGCTATGATAGCCCAGATTGTCGTGGAGCCTGAAGTCGTGGGGCCACAAGATGAGGCTGACGAGTTCGCCTACGGCAAGAAGCTGACCAAGAAGGAGCAAAAGAAGCTTGAGGAGGAGGCCGAGAAACTTGCTCAAGACAAGGAATTCGAAGACACCGAGGCTGCAAATGGCCGTGCCGCCGAAGAGCCCGAGGAGGTCTGGGGCGAAGAGGCTCGGGAAGTGCCCGAGTTCTTTGACCGAGGACGAGTTGGGTTACCTGGGGCTCCGCAGGAGGAGATACGGGACGAGTTTGACGACTTCGATGCATTCATGCCCAAGCTGAGCAAGAAGGAGCAGAAGAGGTTGGAGAAGGAAGCTGCGGCCGCGAAACTTGCCGAAGAGAAGGAGTTGGCCGAAGCTGAGGCTGCGAAACTAGCTCAAGAGAAGGAGTTGGCCGAAGCTGAGGCTGCGAAACTAGCTCAAGAGAAGGAGTTGGCAGAAGCTGAGGCTGCGAAACTAGCTCAAGACAAGGAGTTTGCAGAAGCCGAGGCTGCCAATAACCATCCCGTCGAAGAGCCTGAGGTTCAGAGCCGAGAGCTGCAGGACGACGAATTCAAAGAGGCTGATGAGTTTTCCTTCACCAAGAAGCTGAGCAAGAAAGAGCAGAAGAAGCTAGAGAAAGAGGCTGCTAAGCTTGCTCAGGAGAAGGAATTCGAAGAGGCTGAGGCAGCGAATAGTCGTGCGGTGGAAGAACCTGAGGCTTGGGATCAAGAGCATCAAGCAGACGAATTTAAGGAGGCGGAAGAGTTTGCGCCGAAGTTGAGCAAGAAGGAACAGAAGCGCTTGGAGAAGGAGGCCGCCAAACTTGCTCAAGATAAGGAATTCGAGGAAGCCGAGGC